TTCCTGAAGAGTATGCCTATCTTTTGTTGAACAAAAAATTGAATACCCAAACCAATTAGGAGAGGAAAATAAGTGGCCTCACCAGCTTCCAGAAGCAGCTCTTCTCAGGCAGTTCAGATATGTATGTCTTCAGACAGATAAAACCAATAAAAAGATAAAGCTTCAAATTAGCCCACATTGCAACAAAGTACATTTTAACATGCCCAGGAATTTTGGTCATTATGTGGACAGCAGTTCACTTGGACCGTAGTATGTAACAAGTGTAATATATTTATTGTATGAGGAAAAGTGTCCAATACTTATGTTTCCCAAACTGGAGGCAGATTTACCATGCCACTGAAGACTGCATATTTCATCAAAAATATCACAAAATTTGATTTAAAGTTACTTGTAAACTATGCCTTTCGTAATCCAAACCCAAAGGGCTTGCAAGACTGTCAACTTCAGTTTGCTGGGTTCAGTCAGAAAAAGAAATTCTCACTGATGCCAGGATGTTTTTCAGTAGGATTCACCTTAACTGTTTGTTTTACCTTCATCACACTTGCTGACCCTTCTTCGGTGATTCACCACACCTTAATCAGGAAAATCTTCAATTTAACTTGATGGGGCATTACATTTGAAGCTTTTGGGTTTGAATTCAGCCACACAGGTGTTGCTGTGCTTGGTGATTTGTTCAGACTCACTGGAAATCTGATTTTGATACTGTATATTGATTCATACACTCTTGATTATTAATGCATTTCAGGTGTGTACAGATTTGTGTGTGTGCATGCACATGTGTACATACACACAGAGGAAGTTATGTTTTGCAAGATTAAAAGATTCATCCACCTGGAATCACTCAAAAAGGAAATACACATTCAAAATTTGTGAAAACCTCAATATACAGTAGATGGATAAAAAGCACAGGTGGATTAGACACATACCAAATCATTAGTTTTTGCTGAAACTTACAGAAGGGTAATCAGTATCACTTTAACTGTGGAGAGACTAGCATCTCACCATAATACAGATACATACTCACACACACAGTCTCATCCTGTAGCATATGTGCCTAGCTAAGAAGAAAAGCATTGAAATAAGTATAATAAAAAGGGCTCAACCGAATTACTTAATTAGTGGAAAGCACAGCAGTTCTCAAAACCTTGGGAACTTTTCAGGCTACTAGTTGGAGGCAAGTCCAGCTCTATACCTAACAAGGTCCATTTTTGTTCAGTGTATTTGTTTATTTATTCTCCAGATTGAACAGGAATAAAAAGCAGATATGCATGAAACCGACAGCCACAGCTCTCTTTTGTTTAAGATCATCCACTGTTGAATCATTTTTGTCTGCAGCCAAAGGGCCTATTTGAACTTTCTGACTGTTCATCACACATAATTTGGAGTATTTAGCATTATGTCAAGAAAATTGCCCACTGCTTCCCGCTGTGGAAACCTATGGGAGCTCTATATCTTTAAACTAATTTTACTTAAAGTATTCCATTGAATAGCATGACTGTCTCACTATAATCAGTGCAGCAGTAATGTAATTAATCTCAAAATTGCTGCGGGGAGTACAAGGCATCTCAGTTGCTTGTTGTAACAACCTAAATTAGCGTATGACTGAAAGATGTTGAAGAGGAACAGTTCATTTTAGGTAAATGCTGTCAGAGTATCCAGCCTTTCTATTTCTAAAGCTGAAATTAAAACTATCATCATAGTTCTCCTTTTTGAAATCCAAATGAGTATATTTTGAGGTGGGGAAGTATAATTAAATTTGATGTGGTATTCCAACAGATGCCATTTTACATTTTATAATAATTAAATTTGTTTAAATAAAAATTCTTGTTTTACTTAGAAAAAAAAAATGGTTTGGCTCAAAGCATGCCATTGTAACAGAACAATTCCCTTTTGTCACTGAAACTTCACAAACAGCTGCTTCTTCTTTTCCTAAGCAAAAAAATTGTTCTTGCTGTTTTACTTTTTATACAGCCATCCTTCAACTGTTCTATTTAGAGATATTTTGACTGGACATGCAACTGCTCTAGTGTACAGCATATCTCAGAGGTGAACTTTAAAAGATAAAGTTTAAAACAGATTCCACTAATGACAGTGGTAATTGATAACAAATTGCAGAGAATAGCTGATGCAGATGCCTGGAATCAACTTCTTGTTGTTTAACTCAGTCCCCTCCTCTCACGAACTAAATCAAACATCAAATGAAATGAAAAATTTTATTCTAATATAAAGGTTATGAAAGGTGACAAAAGTAGTAAACTGAGGCCAGTTTGGCCTGTTACTCCCTATGGTGCCACAATACAAGAACAGGAAGTGTTTTCAGTTTGCTACTACTCTGAAGAAAAACAGTAGAGTAAAATTTTATCTTTTAAAATCTAAAGATTAATCTTTCAACTGCAGATAAGGGTAGAGAGTAAGATTCTTGTTGGGCAAAGAGTTGAAAGCACTTCTCCTCCTCAATGATGTACTCCCTGATATTAAAATCACAAGAGAGCACATTTGTCAACTGTCTAAATGAGAAGTCAGATATTTCATTTAGATGCTATATTTTTTTCAGCAACGATACAAAGCAGAACACAGAACAATCCAGAGAGATTATCACCTAATCTGCTCTTTTAATATATACAAGAAATCAAAGTATAAGTAAAACAAGCACTGACTAATTAAAGAAATGCATAACAGTAAGGGCCTGATTTTATTTTACATAATTTTTCCCCTAATAGTGCCTAATTAAGACACCAGTTTAAAAAAAATATCCAACAGAACTCTAAGATTTTCCACACTGAATTAATGTTAAGGGCTTTTAATGGATGTCTTAATTAGACTTTGTTATTCATGGAAATTTTTGCACAAATTAAAATCAGGTCCTGCGTGCAACATTCCCAGCTGAGTCTCAGCAAAAACGCTACATGTCACTGAAAGACTTCTAAACTATGTGCAGACAGCAATTTGTATTCCAAAGCCAAAATTTGCATTAATAGCATAACCAACAAAAATCACATACTTAGGATTTCTCCCTTCAAAGTAAATTTATATTTTATGAACCAACTTTTTTTTAAAGTATGTAGACAGTGATGCAGCTGGACCATGGGCAAAATACCACAATGACCTGCAGAACAGTCCAGAGCAGCTGTATCTGTTATTCAACATAGAAAGTTTGATTCCGTCTCCAGTTCTGTTGCTGTTGTGCCTGAAACACATGCTGAAAGGCCTGTCATTATTGGTGAAAAACAATACAAAGCCCAAACGAAAACGCTGTCACAGCAATCCCTTCATCCCTGACAAGACAGTCCTTCCAAAGGAACCTAACTCTTAGGAACAGGAACACCTGACTCTTGCCTCTTCAGTTTACATTCCCAGGGCTCTTTCAAAAAACACACTAAAGCACGAGCTACAGGGCTTCACAGGAGCCTCTCAGACAAGGCATGAAAAGTAAACAACAGCCTGAGCAGCAAAGATTACATTACACTGACACTGGAAATATTCCAAGTATTGACAGACCAAGTCTCAACTGCAGTTTATCCCATTGCACAGATCACATGCTAACGCAATGCACTGATGCTATCATGGAAAGCAGTTTTGCACACAGTCCTTCACAAATTACTTTGCTAATGAAAACCATGTTAATTTCTCATATCAGACACAAGTCTGAATCAGTGTAGCAGCCAGGAACTCATCTGTTACAGCACATTCTCTACAAAAGGAACTAAAAACCATTTTTGTGGTCTATGCTGTGCTCACTGCAGTAATGTCTTTGCATCTGTGCAAAGAATTGTCAATTGTCTATGAAACACGGCAAGCACTACCTTGCCAGCGTTTATTTTTATTGTAGGTCTATAAAAACATCTGTATGTATGTGCATGTGCATGTGTGTGCATGTAGGTATCAGCACACTCCTTGCTCTGTCCTGCAGCAGGAGCTTCATCTCTAGCAGCCCCATGTGGTGCCCAGCCTGCAAGAGGGACGTGGTACTTGGACCTGCCCTGCTGCTGCTGCTGTGTCGTTCCGTACGAGTACTTTTATTACACGTGACAGAGGAGCAGTGAGTGGATATGACTAACCCCTACCCTTTACTTGACCACGCTGAACAGGAAAACTAGCTTATATGCCAGCTCCCAGATTGCTCTGAGAGCAGAACTAGTGAGATACCGGTCTAGATCCCCTGGAAAGACACATATTCCTTATAGGATTTCTTTTGGAGGGTTTGCATGGTTTTACAGTACCTGGCTAGTCTGGGGGCTGGACGGGTCATAAGAAGGTACATAATTCTTCAGAGTATCCTGAGGATTCAGGTGGGGAGGATATCTGATCGTTGGATGAGAGAAGTAGCTAGATGGGGCAGGAGGGAGAATAGCTTGTGCTGGAAATGGCAATGGTGAAGGTGGAGGTGGAGTTCTAGTTGAGATGACTGGAGAAGATAAAATAAAATAAAAATTACTTTGCATCTTGTTTCTTCTAAAATTCTTCACCTCTGTGTTACAGCAAGAAAAATAAAAAGTTAGTTATAAATCGTTATGCTGCACTCCTGTGTCATAGCATCTTTACAGAAAAGCTTAACATGTCCTCCCTTCACATCATCTCAGGCAATGGAAAGTGCTATTGTTTCAAATTCATAAATACTGTGTTTTGGTTTGGTTTGGTGAGTTATGCCATCATATTTTTTCATTTTTCTTTAAACGGTAATCAATCTCCAGCATATAAGACATTTCAATTATACAGTTTTCCCATCTAGAGCCCAAAGAAACAAAATAAATATTTTACTCAATAAATATATACTACACTTTTATCTACAGCACTCCAACAAAGGAGAGTAAGGTCACCAAGTCTTAAGAAACAGTTTTCGTTCTGTGACTGCACTACACTCTACCTGCCTCATGTGGGGACACGGTAATAATTACTTATCAATAATGCTATGAATATTAGCTGACCTTCATGAAAATGCTAGTGAGCATTAAATTTCAGGGCCTGGGAAACCAATCCATCCAATAAAAATATCTCTGACAAACAAAAAAGTATCTACCCTATACATCTTTTTCTTTGCATTCTCCTTCCTCCCAGACCCTACAAACACACACTATCTATAGACTATATGCAATGTTTGAACAACCAGCAATGTTTTCACAGTGAAAGGAATGTACAGTATGTCCTGCTGCTGCCCAGTCACCCAGCTGG